ATGGCATATTACATATTGAGAACATATAACGATAAATGAAGAATAAAAGAATAAAAAAAATTACGTACACATGCGTAAAAATAAATATTTACATATGAATTGAATCTGGATACACAAATAAAATAACTGTATTCAAAGTACACGTATAAACGAGTTAGATATTTTTCGATAGACATGCGCATGTGTGCGTATGTATGTGGAGGAGGGAGGAAGGTAGGTGGGTGCGTGCGTGCGTGCGTGCGTGCGTGCGTGCGTGCGTGCGTGCGTGCGTGCGTGCATGCGTGCGTGCGTTTATATATAGGATGCTTAATTTTTATGACCTCAAATACTCTCTTGAACAATGTATTTTAAAGAAAACTTTCATATAAAGATAATATAGCCACATGATGACGATATTGATTTGACATTTGCAGTGTTATTGTCGAGACTTTTTTATAATCGCCATTTTTTAAAATGAAATTACATATTTTCTTTTTATGTAATGTGATTCTATAAAATGTAAAGTATAAGTTTTAGATAATGTATAAGTTTTAGATAAGTTTTAGATCGTACTTTAATACCTTTATGCATAAAATGAATTGATGATTCAATTAAATCCATTGATTAAATCAATTGATGTAAAAAAAATGATACATAATTACTCCAAAAAAATTATGCAATATGCAAGTATGTACTTTTTTAAACGCTACATACTCTTTCTACAAATTCAATTGATATATCTCATTATTTTATACACAAAAGATATAATTATAAAATAAAGAAATAATTATAAAAAAAATTACGATTTATGAAATATTTTTATTATATAGCGAAATATATGTCAGAATAAAGTATCAAATATCTCGTAAACTGTTGATTTTTTGACATTTAATTTGACCTTAATTACTTTTATCCAGAATAATTGAAAAAAAAAATAGAGAAATTATATCACGTAACAAAAAAATATATGATTCCATTCAAAAAAATGACGACAAAAAAATCTCAATTGTGGCTTATCTGTGAAAAAATTAATATCATGATTGATCATAATCATGCAGCCTTCTTGACTCCCTTTGATAACTTTTACCTTTCTTTGAAAGATTTTTTCTTCGATGAAAGTGCATCGTTCAAAAGAGATCGTACTTGAGATCGTTATTTAA